TAACAGCTGCAATTGCAGGTTTTCAAACAGAGATGGCGACAAAGAGGCAAAATTTACAGACTGCAGCTTTAAGTAAAGATCATGTTCCATGAAGATATTTTGTAAATATCCTACCGTAAATATATAGTAATATGCATGGCTAAGGACTTTATTTGGAAAACTTTACAGGCGATTTACTCAATATTTAGATTTTTTTTTACACCCTCAGATTTCAGATGTTCAAATAGTTGTATCTCGGCCAAATATTGTCCTATCCTAACAAACCATACATCAATGGAAAGCTTATTTATTCAGCTTTCGGATGATGTATAAATCTCAGTTTAAAAAAAAATTACTCTTAAGACTGGTTTTGTGGTCCAGGGTCACATTTGATGAGCTCTGTGCCTGTGCATTGACCAATGTTTATATATGAAAATTAAAAGCCTAAATTAAATCCATTCATGAAGAATTTGTGTCTCTTCAAAAGACTTAGATTAAACTTGTGATCTATTTATGAACATTTGGAAGTATCAAACTTTGGTGGAATGGGCTTTCAATGGAGGGACAGAAATCTCTCAGGTCTTATCAAAAATATCTTAATTTGTATTTTGAAGATGAATGAACATAATATAGGTTTGGAACAACATGAGTTTGAGTAAACATACATTTCTCTGAACTATCCCTTTAACAAAACCTTTTCTTTATTTTTGACCATTGTTGTTTAAAAAAAACAAAACAGGCAACTGATTAGTTATAAGGTTTTTGAGGAAACTTCTGAAAGGTCAGTGCGAAGAGAATCATTTTAAGAACAGAAAAGGTAGCACCTCAGTCATATTTGCCTCTCCCTCAATAAATTATATATTTTTTAAAAAAGCACATTCCCCCTTACTTTATTAAAACCATCAAAAGGCAACACATAGCCCCAGCAGACCGGCCTCCTCCATTAGCCTAGTGCAGTATCATGTTGCAATAGCCCTTAGCTAACCACAGGACCATTAGCCTCTATCCGTCTATCTCATCCCTGTCATTCCAAATGCTGCTTACCACTTCAAGGACCAGATGTCTGCTTTATCATTCAATTAAACCAATATATGTACGGTCCATACCATCTGAGGACAAAGCTAACTGCACATTGATCGTACAAAGCAGTTTTTGTAAAAGTACTTTTTAAAAGGATGAATAAATAAACAGATAAATAAATAACTTTAAAAAGATTCATAAAATATATAGTAATAATATATTTACAATATATAAAAGATTATATATACTCTATATATAACATTTTTCGTTAATCCAATCCATTCATGTATGCATATATATAATATATAAAGTCTATTTTTTTTTTGTTTGATGCACACTGCTTGTTTTATTAACTTGAATAGAATCTGTCTCATAAATGATCACACATACAGATTCCTGCCAGTGTGTGTATTATTCCTTAATCGTGAGCTTCCAGAACCATCAGCAAGACAGCAAGAGGCTATTAACAACAGGATTTTAAAGTAATGACATGAAAATGAGACAAGCCACCACAGCTTCTTCTTCTCCTTCTCAACAGCTCAACCAAATATGTTCCACATTAGCCATTCAAACACTTCCTAAAGATCTTCGATTCGTATTACCTTTCTGTGAGACACACACTCACATTCTCTCTCTTCATGATGGATAGCAGTCCACTCACATATTCTATATATCCTCCAGAACCACAGGGCTAAATTCAACACTAATAGCTTCATAGGACACTGTGATTAATCATGATATTTTTGGTCTTGGTGAGAGGAAGGAAAGACACAAGGTAATTAAAAAAACCAGACATAGAGATTATTCATGCTGGTGTAAAGAAGATGAACCAGAGCCCCCTATAGATCAAAAATGAAGTAAGCATAATTCACTGCTTAACTGACAGCACCAACTCTAAACACCGTTTACAAAAGAAAAAACAACACCCATGGATGCATCCACAGACAGAGCCATCCTTTGATTAAACACTGAAATATTATATACTTACACTAATAAAAATAAATGCTCAAATGTTACACTTGCTAACATTGTTATGGGATACAATACCGTTCAAAAGTTTGGGATCGGTAAGATTTTTTTAAATAAGTCTCTTTTGCTCACCAAAACTACATTTATTTTATATCAAAAATACAGTAAAAACAGTAATATTATAACAATTTAAAATAAACGATTTATTTTAACATTTTAAAATGTTTTTTTCCCCCTGTGATTGCAAAACTGAATTTTTAGCATCACAAGATCCTTCAGAAATTAATCTAATATGTTGATTTTGTGCTGAAGGAACATTTCTGATTGTAGAAAACTGTGATTTTATTTTCTACTATTTTTTGCGGAAACTGTGATACTTTTTTTTCCAGATTCTTTGATGAACAGTAATTTCAAAAGGCCAGCATTTATTTGTAACACCATGAGTCTTTACATACTGACCCCAAACTTCAGAATGACTGTGTAAATCTGCTTTTAATTTGTATTATAGGGATAGAACAAAAAGGTTCAACTAACTAAGACTCAGACATGTCAAAAGGTTATTTCAAAACATCTGTCCCATCAGGCTCTCTATAGTATCATTATGTACAAGATTAAAGGTAACAGTTACATCATTGCCTCACTGGAAGCATTTAAAAGCAGATTAACTATTTTAACTGACATTTTCTACACATATTTTCATCTATACAACCTTTTCTCAGATCTGCCGTGCCATTATTTGAAAGAGCTACCACTTTATTGTGGTATCATCGATTTCAGATTTGCCTGTCACTAAACATCTCATAAAAAAGCAAACTAGTCAAACAGTTAGGGGTGGGCGATATGACCAAAATCTTATTTCACGGTATGAGAAATTTCACGATAACGATATGTACCTCGATATAGCTATTTTTATTTCATTTTTGTAATTTAAATTAAGAAAAAGAAGCAAATTACAAGCACAACAGAACAAATAAATATGAAATAAACTTTTAATTTATTCAGCTACAGCAGGCAAGGTTTATTTAACATGTAGTGAGAAATATTACAGAAATTGAATAAAGTGTATAAATAAAACACTGCATAGTCTTCACTGTATAAATCAAACATGATTAACATTAATAAGGACAGACAGCAGCAGGTAAATAAGGCTGCTGTCCCTTTAAGACTGACTGCACGGATCCAATATACTGAAACACATCCGGTTTTCAACCAACTGTTTTACATTTATTTAACATCTAAACGACTGTGTTTACTTGAATACTCCACACGACGGGCATTATGACATTACAGTGTGCATATTTGACCATTCAAGCACAATAAAACACAAAAGAGATCTGTTTTGCCCCTCTCTCGATAGCGACCGCATGCTATCAAGAGAGGGGCTTTCAGTGCGCATGCTTCGGCTGTGTGTCAGTCAGCGTGAGCACCGCATTGAGTTCTTTTTCACTGCTTATTACACTTAATAACTCTACCAAGTGCTTCAAAGTCTTTATTTTCTCATTCATGCATGTTTCCTTATCACTCAGAAGGTGTACAACATTTAAGCAGTACTATGTTACGCAGATATATTTGCATACCGCGGAATACACAATATAGCAAAATCTCTAAGGATAGACACGGTAACGACCGTCATACCGCCCACCCCTACATGCAGATGTCACTCATATGGACTCTTCCCCCCTAAGCAGACACTTCTCGGTCAGAATAAAAAGTGGACCAGACTTTAACTGGGAATCAAAAGTCTGGATCACCTCTTCATGGCACAGTGTTCAGACTCTGCGGTGTCTAAACTGGGTGGCAGGTGTCTATGATCCTGAATAACTGCAGCAGCGTAGTAATACTTCTGAGAGTACAGGGTTCAAAGAAGGTCAGAATCTCCAAACAGCAAGGCATCAGAGACTAGCGCACAGCCTGGTGCTTCATGACATTCAGACGATGATTCGAGAAGAGCAGTAAACATATAACAGGGACTAGAAGACTAGCAGCTTATTCATGACTGTTCATTGTCTAAAACTACTAAATGGTTTCGGGGCCACATCAACTGTTATTGTTAATTCTAGATCATTCAGTTGGTCACATAAATATAACCTAAATCCAGCTTTGAGCAAAAATTCAATTTGGACATAGTGCTTATCTCTCCTGGCTCAGTATTATTTTATAAGAGGCCCATGAAATGAGAGAACTATGCATACATGTCAAAATTATTATGAAAAAAATTTGGAAATGGAAATTCTATACAACCTTTCCTGGATCTGCTGTGGGCTTATTTAAATGAGCTACATCACTCAATTGTTGTGGTATCAACAAAAACAAGCTGTTTTCTTTCTTGTGTTGACATTATTTCCTTTTGAAACAGGACGTTTTCCCAGAATGGAAAGACTGTACAGTTTAACTGCATATACACTAGGCTACCATTCAAAAGTTTGGGGTTGGTAAGTATTTTTTATGTTTTAAAAGAAGTCTCTTATGCCCACCAAGGCTGCATTTATTTGATCAAAAACAATAATAGTGTCGAATATTATTACAATATTAAAATAACTGTTTTCTATTTTAATACATTTCTGTTACGGCAAGGCAGAATTTTCAGAAGCTATTACTCTGGTCTTCAGTGTCTCAAGATCCTTCAGAAATCATTTGAATATGCTGATTTGCTGCTCAAGTAGCATCTCATATTACTATCATTGTTAAAAACAGCTGTGCTGCTTAACATTTTTGTGGAAACTGATATGCATTTCTCAAGAGTCTTTTCTTTTCTCAAGATCATTATAAACGTCTTTATTGACACCTTTGGTCAAAATAATTCATTTTAAACAATCTTACTGACCCCAGAGCTTTGAACAGTAGTGTATGTAAAAGATACACTGACAACTTTTAGGTTTTAACAAAAAAACAAAAAGTCCAATTTTAAACTACTGTAAAATTGACAATATTCTCTTTTGTAGTGAAGTCCACAAAACAGTTGAACGAGAATCATTTTTGTTCTTAATTTGTTTAACCTTAAATAGGCAATAAGCTATTAGTATTACACTCACATTGTAAAGGATGTCCACCCATCCTTCCATAGTGATGCACTGGAAGACGGTGAGCACAGCAAACAGGATGTTGTCAAAGTTTGTTATGCCGAAGTTTGGACCGGTCCAGTATTCCCTACAAACAGTGTCGCCTTCACACGTCCGGGCTGGAGGTTCCATCCCACATGGAAAGTCAGCTGCCTGTTCCCCTTATAGAACAATATTACTGTCAGCCGTAAACTAACAGCGATCTTTACAGCAACTTAAGAGCGTATGAGTGCTTATAAACACAATAAACTGAAATCGCAAGCTCTATTAGCATGTATCTCTCACATACCAGTATCGTTTCTGAAGCAGGTGTGGTGAAACTTGCCCATGTAAAAGTCTAGACCAATGATGGCAAACATGAGGATAGCAAAAAAGAGCAGAAGGCCAATCTGAAGCAGAGGAACCATTGCTTTCATGATGGACTTCAGAACCACTTGGAGACCTAATCACATACAGAGAACATACAGTATGTACTGCAAGTTATAAATAGTAATAACGGCCAATCAATTAGACAACTAAATGCAAAGACTAGTAAGCTGGGTAACAATTTATCAAAAACGATTTCTAAACGTATCCTCTTATTTATTTGTTTGTTTGCAAAAAAAAAGGTTTTTAATATAACTTACTTGGAATTCCAGACACCAGTTTGAGTGGCCGCAAGACTCTTACTGCCCTGAGTGTCCGCAAATCAAAGTCTGGCCCCACTACAGTCAGAATCCTGTTGAGAAAACACACCAATGATACAGTTTATGGGAATTCACAGCCTATGCAATGGGTTTTCAAGTTTTGATACCAAGGACTCCCAAATATGATGATTCCCTTGTGAGGAAAACCTTTTTACAAATATAAAGGCAGCAATACATTTTAATACTTTTTTTTTAAGAACTACTTATACTGTGTGACACTATTGAGACAATGTTACATATTCAAAGCATCTTTATTTCTTACATGTACACTTCTGCTTAATAAGATTTTTTTTTAAATAAATTAATTCAATAATTTTACAAGGATGCATTAAACGTACCAAAAGTGTCAGGAAAGACATTTACAGTGTTACAAAATATTTTCTTTTCAAATAAACGGTGTTTTCAATACAAAGAATAAAAATAAATAAATCCTGAAAAAAATGTTTCACTGTTTTCACAAAAATATTAAGCAGCACAAGTGTTTTCAATATCACAATAAGAAATGTTAAAATGATTTCTGGAGGATTATGTGACATGAAGACTGAAGTAATAGCTGCTGAAAATTCAGCTTTGCCAAAGGATTAAATCTTAAAATATATTCAAATAGAAAACATTTATTTCAAATTGTAATAATAAAGTACAATATTACTGTTTTTACAGTATTTTTAAGTGAGCGTAACAGGCCTCTTTCAAAAGAACTTAACCTTAAACTTTTGAACTGTAGTGTATTTTTTAATGTGTAATAAATATCTTAAAATATCTAATAAAAAATGATAGTTAACATTTACTATAAAACATTTGCTATAATCAAGAGAACTAGACTTCATCAGATGTCTCACAGTCATGCATGACCATCTTCAGAATCATGATGGATCACTCCTGTACATGTATATTTCACTGAGACATTATAAATCTATTTCCTCCCCATGCTGACCCGCTTTCCCAGACGGCAGCTCACAGCTGAATTGTGTAAAAAATCCTCCCCAATCTCTAGGTCGCTGCCACACAATCATAGTACTCTTGTCTGAGTCTCACACACAACGCTTATGACTAGTGAGAAGAACTCTGACCATTCTACTTTCTCAGGCTTTCACATGGTGGAAAGGAGAGTCAAGGACAGTATGCATTAATATATAAATAGTGTTCACGCTATCCTCAGTTCTCTTTCATTCTCTTATATCCCACAGAAGGGTGCATACGGAAGAGCCTGGCCTCACTGAGAGGGACAGCCCAGCAAATTATTGCCCGAAGCACAGCTTGGATTCGCAGCTGGTATGGGGATACAGTGACAGTTAACTAAATGGGACTGGATAATGGTGAAGTCAGTGGCTATATAGTATATTATAGTATATTATAGTATATAACCTCATTTGCACTGTTCAAGTTTTTCTACATTTGTTGTCTCCTCAGGGCAAGAAAATATGAAAAGACAATACAAGCTTATTGGAAAACTTCACTCAAAAATAAAAATTCTTTCATCATTCTCATGCGAGCTACACTACTGTTCAAAAGTTTGGTGTTATTTTGTGACGTGACATGTGGCCAAGTACGGTGACCCATACTTGGAATTAGTGCTCTGCATTTAACACATCCAAAGTGCGCACACACAGCAGTGAACACACACACACCGTGAACACACACCCGGAGCAGTGGAATTTTTAATGGTTTATAAGTCCCTTATGGTCACCAAAGCGGCATTTATTTGATCAAAAATACAGTCAAAATATAGTAAAATTGTTAAAGCACAATTTTCAACAGTCAGTCTTCAGCATCACACGACCCTTTATAAATCATTCTAAAATGCTGTTTTGATGCTCAAGAAATATTTCTTATTATTATTATCAATGTTAAAATGGTTGTGCTTCATATTTTTGCGCAAACGGTGATACTTTTTCAGGATTCTTTTGTGAATAGAAATTTTCATCAGGACAGCATCTATTGGAAATTTTATTTGCAACAATATAAATGTTTTGACTGTCAATAATTGCATCCTAAATAAAAGTATTAAAGTCTTCAAGAGAATGTAAAATCCTCCTGACACCACACTTTTGAATGGTAGTGTATATTGATAACTTGTCTGAGGAACACATCGCTGAAAAATTAGATGAAATCTGTTTCTCTATATTCAAACTTGGTGCTTCATAACTGGCTATAAAGCATGCAAAAATCAACAGCATTTGGCATTTTTACAGACCATGTTTGAATGTATGTAAATGTGATTGACTGAATGAAATGTGAATGAAATTTAAAAGTAATTTTAGTGAATAACAACTTTACTTTTATATATTAAAAGTATGTATATTTCAGCTTCTGAAGATTTTGAATATGCTGCACAGACTTTATGGACCACTTTTATGGTGCTTTTTTGTCCTTGTCAAAACTTGACAGTCCCTGGTCAGTGGTCACTGTGTGCTTTGTTGTATAAACAGAGCAGCTGGTAAACTATCTACTTAAACATCTACTTTTTCACCAAAAAAAGTAAGTGATATGGAAACTAGAGTGGAGTACTAACTACTAACCAATGAAATGACTACGGTTTACTCCCACATTAGTGAGAGTGAGATATACATCAGATCATCTAACATCAAAAGATGCAGAAAGATGCATCTCTGCTCTCACATCTCCAGCTTTAAGTGTCTTTTTTCTTGTTCCTCTCAGCCAAGAAGTCTGATTCAACACAGCAACGAAAAATGCTGGCTTTTATTTACGGCATAGTATGAATTCTCCTCAATGCTTTCACTGCAATTCTGTTGATTTACTATCCGTGTTTCACTGAGGCCCTGAATGAACCTGAGAGGATGGCTCAACCTGTGACAACACTGGGACATGAGAATGCTCTAGACATCCAACAGGGAAATCCAATGCTCAGGCAAACACAGTCCTTTGTAAAATGATACTCTGCTAAAGTAAAGCACTGCATGCTGCCATTTAACAGCTCTGGGAGTTTAGAACATGCTCAACTGCTTGAATAAAAGACTCCGTACTACCATCATACAGAGGTCACGTGCAAACAGACGCTAATTTCATATTGTTCATTAGGTTTGTTATGCAATAATTTGATCAAATCTGAATAATAGTTACAAATTGGAATATATAATTAGAAACACTGAAAACCCTGAATATATAAACCGGACTATATTATTATAAATCCTGAATATATAGCTGTAAATTTGAACATGTAGTTGTACAACTGGAAAGATAAATCAGAATCTATACTATAATTATAAAGTCTAAATGGCAGTTAACAATAAGTCTGATCTGAACATGGTTGAAAATCCAAATATATGGTTGTAAAACTTAATATATAAATGTAAATCTGACCATAAAATTATAAATGCTGCAAATATATTTGTCAACTTGAAAATATAAATGTAAATGACTACATTATTGCAAATTCTGAATATGTATACACGCACAGTTATAAATCTAGAATATATAAATGCAAATCCAGTATATATAATTATAAACCAGATTATAATTATAACTTTAATTATAAACTCTCAATTGCATTTAAAAAATAGATTTGATCTGAATACGGTTGTAAATTCAAATATATAGTTGTAAAAAAAAATGATCAGGCATATCTTCCTTATTTCAATAAAACAGTAGGTACTCTATGCTTTGTATCATTCTAATATATTCTGGTTTTTAAATATACATTGAATTTTTTCCAAATTTCCCCCCATATATAACATAAAATACATGGTTTTATAAAATTCTATAAAATGAAAAACTCTGTAATATTATGCATATTTTATTCATTATTTTTTAAAAACTCATTATTTAAATGATTTAAAAATCAATGTAAATCAATCAATGTAAATAGTACTCATCTAGATCACATGTTAATAGAATAAAAGAGCTTAATAATATGAATGTGTCTAAGAATGTGAGCCAATGACTTGTCTTCAAGAATAAACAATTCATTTGTGACCCACATCTCTTGTTACTCCCTAAAATATGAGCATACAAAATATTGACTGTATTATCTGCTCCCATATCTCTGTATGTTAAGTCACTCTGAGAGAAGAATTGCTTGATGTTGCACCATTTGTCTTTGGCCTTTTTTGTGTTTTAAAAAGATAAATTGTTTTCTTTCTTTTTTTCAGCAAGAAATCTCTAGAAATGTAATTCAGGCCTTGTTGCTGCAATCATGAGCAAGGCCAAATCATTATAAGAGCTGCATCCAAAACACATTAAAGTTTTATACACTGCCTTTAGGCACTGTTCAATCTTCAGAAGAGAGGCTATTTCACTAATTATAGGCCGAAGGACGTCACCTATATGGCACTAAGTACTATTTTTAAAGTTAATGCTGTATCTCCATTCCTTCAGTGTGCAGACAGGCTGTGTATAAATGTGTATAATTCTGCCACATTTACTGAATGTTGTGAACATTTCAAACATTTCCATCAAATCACAAATTAATGTGCATTATACATTTAATAGCATCCTGTGATGGAAATGACACAGTTGAACACGTTTGCAATAAAATTGCTATTTTCACCTAGATTTTAATTTTGTCAAGCTCTGATAATATGACTCTGATAATATAACTGATAATGAAATGACACAGTTGAACACGTTTGCAATAAAATTGCTATTTTCACCTAGATTTTTATTTTGTCAAGCTCTGATAATATGACTCTGATAATATAACTGATAATGTCTCCTTAGTAAATTAACTTTTTTTTGGGGGGGGGGGGGGGGGGGCCCCAAAGGGGGGAA